TTTACCATGTTTCAGGCAGAATTAATTGACCCTGCTGTGAAGGGAACACTTAATGTTCTCACATCCTGTGCGAAAGTTTCATCTATCAAAAGGGTGGTAGTAACATCTTCCATGGCTTCGGTTAGATTCAACAGAAAACCTTTAAACCCGGATGTTGTAATTGATGAGACTTGGTTCTCCGATCCAGTATTTTGTCAGGAATCAAAGGTTTGTGATGTGCTAATACCTTTGATATTTAAGTTATTATGTGATACAGTGCTGAAGCAACATCCATAAACTTTCCCAGGACTCTCTTGTATTTCTCTCTTTTGTTGCCCTTTGTACAAATAGCTTAGTCACGTGAAGGATTTTTTGCATGAGAAACAATTATCAGTATTTGAATGCTTCTTGCATGTCTTTTATGAGAACAAAGTAGAAGATCTATTATCCTATGCTCTGTGGTTTTGCATGGTTTTCTGCTGTTTGTATTTGCTTGCAAAACAATGTGTATACATTAATCTCTTTCGGTTAATGGAATCATTGCTTATTGGAAAATAAAAAGCATTTGACTGCATCTTTTAATGTTGTACAAAGTCCATTGAGATGGTTCTTTTTCGCTTAAGACCTAAGATAGATCTTCAAGTTTTAGTTATTTTAGCATATAGATGGGGAAAAGGTAAAGGCTAGTTTTCTTTCTGAAATTTTTGAGAATCTGGACATGCAAGGTCTGCGAGGCTTATGTTGTAGCTTCTTGTGTTTTTATTCAACAACATAGTTGGAGATAAGATAACTTTCTTTAACACCCTTCCTTATGTGCTAATGAAACTTTGTGTATGCCTCAGCTGTGGTATATGCTTTCAAAACACTGGCCGAAGAAGCTGCATGGAAATTTGCAAAACAGAGCGGGATTGACTTGGTGACGATACATCCAGATTATGTGATTGGTCCTCTCTTACAGCCGATTCTCAATACCACTTCTGAGGGGATTGTAGACTTCATAAATCATGGTATGCTTTTCTATTAACAAATTGAGTGTTATGAGTATGATAGTATCTTTCTACCTGAAATGTATTATATAATTCATTTCAATTGTTGTAAAATCCTGGGAACGAATGATCAGCCCTTTAAAAATCTAGCCCCTAATTGCTATATGGTTATGGAGATTTTGTTAGAGAACAATTTACATTGATTTAATAGTTATCAAAGATTAAACATGATATTCAAATGATCTTTACTCAAATGAAATGGGCCAAATGTATCATTCTAGTTGTTTATCTATCTTCAAGTAACAGAAAAAGCCCTTCTTTGGTTCCAAGAAAATGCCCAATAATTTTGGGATTGTGGGTTCGAATATGAGGGCAGTCACTTTTGCAAATAGTGTCCAAAATTAGGTCTACATTCAATCCACGCCTCCTAGGTTTTATTTGTCGTAATGGGCACAAACAAGTTCTTTGTATTTTTTTTGTAAAGTTGTAAATGTGATTCTTTTGATACAAGCAATTAAGCTTTATATGATGCAGGGAAGGAAATGCTATCGAGTGGAATCTTTTTATGTGTTGATGTTAGAGATGTTGCATATGGACATATTCAAGCATTTGAGATTCCTTCCGCTAATGGCAGATACTGTTTGACCGAGACAGTAACATACTATTCCGAAATTCAAAAGATATTATACAAACTTTACCCTACTCTCAACCTTCTGAAAAGTAAGTATTTAGTATTTGAGACGTCCTTAATGCTAGATGACTAAGCTACTAATTTAAATAATTGAATTTGACTACACATTCAACAAAATGTGCATCATGTTAAATTTCCCATGTTTAATTGGGTTCTCATCTCTTTCTTTCTCCTATTAAAATTTAGCTCTAAAAATATCATACTAATAGTCAGTCACTGGTGTAAGCTGATGCATGTTGTCCATCACTGTCACGAAAACTGCTCTATCTGGGAATGGAAAGACAAGATTGGATTGTGTTAACATTGTACAAAATGTGAGGTGGATCAAAGAGTTCCACAATGGATAGAAGTAGCTTGATGATCTATAGAATGAAATTTGTTCAAGAGAATTAAGTTTAATATATAATGATTCTATTCAAGAATTTCCAAAATTTGGTGTCTAGGTTAGAATCAAGTCAAAATGCCGTCTTTTCAAGCTATTTTCTCGTGAAGGAAATCAATGGAAAGGTTGGCTACTTAGAAACACCTTCATATTTTACTTTAAGGACATAGAGTATTAGGCCAAGTTAGAATTAGAATCCAAACACCTTCAAGTTTGTTTTCTTTTCGATTCTATATAATATATTGAAGAAGAGGATGTAGAGAGTAATTTCATGCTCAGAATCCAAAGATCCATTTACTTCAAGAGCTACTAGAAATGGATTTTTTTGAACTATTTCATTTTTTTAGTTACAGTTTAAGCTTCAAAGTTTCTTGTAGTAATTGACTGATCTATCATCCCGAGATCATTTGAGGTATAAAAGTTCTCACAACCAAAGGAATCTGAATAGAACTTTGTGTTTTATTCATGACAGATATACTGATGAAAAGCCTGTTGTCCCACCATACCAAGTATCCAAGGAAAGGGCAAAAAGTTTGGGCATTGATTTCCTTCCTCTTGAGGTGAGCCTTAAGGACACTGTGGAAAGCTTGAAAGAGAAGAAATTTCTGAGTTTTTGAATTGTAATATTCACAAGCAATGGAAATACATATGAGGGTAGTATTTTCATGTTTTTATCTTGTAAACTTGATTAGAATCATTGCAATAATATGCTACAAGTTGGAATATGTATCGCTTGTAGCTGTGCAAAATACTTTACTATGGAACAGAAAAAGACCGATGACACTTTATCCTCTAAACAATTTTGAAATCCCTCATCCCTGATTTGCATCCTTGATAAACACGAGCCTCATTAAAACCTTGATACCAATTTCGCAAACTATTGTCAAACCTGTGACGCAAACCATTGTCAAACCTGTGACACATAAAACAACGATACACAAACTAAAAAGTTTATATAGACAAACGTGTATAAACTTTTGCGACTTGCCTTTGCATCAAAACTCTAGGGACTATGATTTTTCATTGGTCAAGTTCATACTGAAATGATACCACGGTTCTATGACACAACTACAGTGTGGAAATTAAACATCAAGAAGTGCCAATAAATAGGAAAGCTTGTATTTATAAACTGTGAAATAAGGGTAATTTTTTTCTCATAGCTCACCTGAAACACATTTTGAATACTAGCACTTTTGGATCTAGCATAGGCAGCCTATTTTGCCAAACCGAATTCTTCAAGTAAAGTACATGTAGTACGAACAAGAGCAGAATAAAAGAGCCATGATGAAACATACATTGCAAAATTAGCAAGAATTACAACTAAATTAAGAACGCTATTCTGCCCACTAAGCCAAAGGGATGTTTATAGGAGCACATATCCTGCAGAAGGCCTTGCCAATGAAATTGGTGCTTCAGATAAATACAACCACTCACATCACTCTTACCCACACAACTCTCATCAGGAATCAAATCTTTATCATCTTTATAGCTTTCATAAATGTAAATCTCCATGGCAGGTACAATTTTAGCAAAACAATAGGTTGTAACCTTAGTTTTAACATAGCACAAGCAGCAAAATTAAGAGATGCCTAAGCTTTATTTTTAGTTGCTCTATTGAACTCTACGAACATCAAGAATAAAATGTAACTAAAAACAAAAAAAAAATTTACAAAAAAGAACCATGGCCCGAGTTATGTATACCAAGTAGGAGAAGTTTCTGAATCTTCTTTCTCAACCCTCTTCCAGGCTTAACCAATCTTTCTATATCTTTAGCTTGAAAATTCATACATTGAAACGAAAAATTAAGCATCATCTGCAACAAAAAAACAATTACCTATGCATTTTCTTCATTATAGGAACATACAAGCATATCAGAGAAATTTCTTGCATATACCAACTACCAGAGGGTTGTGACCAACCAAACCCAATCCCCAATCAGATAAGCTGCACATGGGCACAATCCAGTCTGCTGCAACATGCTCTGCTTGGATACCTCCAGTTCCAATGGTAGCTCCTCTTTCTTCCCTCCATGCAGATACATGCTTTGCCAATCAAATGCCAAATAAAAAATACAACATAAACACAAACATAGCCACTACAGAAAACAGAAACCAACACTATGTGCACTGAATCCTCTTTACAAACAGATATGTTCCTTACACAACCAATATTAAACAAGTATTTATTCCTAACAAAAACTTTGAAAATTAATCAAACTGATAAGTAACAGAAAATGAAACAAAACATTCCCACCTGCAAGTTTGCTTAAAAGTAGCAACTTAGTAGAATTAACTTTCAAATTTGGTTTAAATACTCCTATTCTCCATAAACCTGTGACCTTCCCATCCTTAAACACAACTTTCTTGCCAGTAATTTTTAAAACTACTCTGAAATAAATGATGATCAAACCACAACCGTCCAAACCCGCAAGTGTAAAGTTGCATTTAAGGATGGGAAGGTCTAAGCGTAGTCCAAACATCATTCAATGCATCTGGATGCGAGATTTTGTTAGAAAAGATCTTTGCAAGCCAACATAAATTTCTCAATGTAGTTGATCTCCGTGTTTTCAGAGAACATACCATAAAAACCTACAAAAAAAATTTCATAATAAGCTGAAAAAGTTCAAACTATTTTCTATTCTGATAAAGATTGGGTCCCATCAACAAGCCGAACAAGAGAAAGAAAATCATGGCATGAAGCCAGAATTGACAAAATGATGACATTTATCCTTCTGAGACATCTTGGGTTCTAATCTTTAGTGCAAGCATTGTCATCTCTACTTGACACCATTCCACCTAAAAGTTGATCCAAGTGCAAAATGGTTGTGTTATGACCAATTGTGATACAATTCTTAGCGTAGTCACAATGAATGTCATGATGAGAGCGGATTAGGACATGGAATGAAAACTAACTGTATATTATCAATGCAGTTCATGGTCTCTCACTTTAGCAGCGGGTGGTTTAGGGATTTCTTTTTGAACAGCTGATTTCACTTAATGAGATATTGTTCTAAAACTTAATCACTTTATGTGGTTTTTCGAACAATTACAAAGTTGGTATTTAGTTGTATTTGCGACTCCAGAATTAATATAAATAGAGTTATGAAAAATGAGGCCACAAATGGATAAGAGTTGGATATGACTGAATGATGGTTACATCTTTGCAACAGTCGTAATATAGTTTTCGTGGTAGTTATGCAGTACTGGTGCTCGATGGGTTTCGGAGTCTCTCGAGTTTTTGGGTATCCTATTATTCTTAATAAGGCTATATTAGAAATCTATATGTGATGTGTAATTTGAATTCTCATGTCTTATATACTCTTTCTTTCTCGGGCCAGTTCTTACCCCGCGTGTATTTTATTTCATTGATACACTTCCCTGTTATTGATTGAAAGAAAAGAGGACATCAAAATCAATGAAGCACCAAGCACAATTTAAAATATAACAAAACATAACAGCACAAAGAGATTCCAATAAGTTAACATAGGTTGATGTAACATATAACTCAAAATACCTTGAAATCAAAAAACATCGGATCTCCAATGTACTCAGCAATTTGTTCAAGGCGCAAACTTCCCTACCCACATTAAAACGCACCCTTTTTCCCCTTACTTTATCAGTAGTGCCCCTTTGCTCTCTACCTCGTTTTATGTCTTTACTTTCTCTTTGGGTATTTCACCAACAAAACCTAGGCCTTGTCTGCCAGTTCTCCCTGTATATTCAACCACTTTTACATCTTCTTGTGCATTCCTCCCAATACCTCTACCCTCGTACCAACCATACCCACTGAGAAGCGCTTTCCCAAACTCTTTCACGGGTATATCGGTAAATTCATTGAACCCATTATCCTCCGGTAGCCTCTGCAAATCATCTTTCAATTTCTGTAACATCAGCTTCTGTCTCGACTCTGGCCGCGGAGGCGACCTCGGCTCGACAATCGCACCATTGTTTATGGACCACCGTAGATTCAGGCCGTAGGATATGGAGGAATCGGTCTCGCCAGAGGAGATAATAGGGTCCTGTTCAAAATCGAGATTATCTGGACGGGCGGATTGGGACGGAAGATCTAGGTCTGTCATCTTCTTGTGAGGCCTCCATTCGTTGGCTATTGGGGGGATAATCAGCTTTTTGGATTCTGAAATTTTTAGGGTTTCTAAGGAATCGAATTCTGTTATGTATTGTTTCGTGATGGATGAGAGATCCTCTTGGTCTTTGGCGTCAGTTTGCGAACGTTTGAGGGGTAGAGGCTTTGAAGATGGGTCTGAAGACAGAGAAAAGGAGAGCTTCATGGTGTTGACGATGGAGAATCAAACGAACGAGAGAGAGATGATTGGCTTGGAAGATGTATGCTGGGTTGAGTTTTGTGTTAGAGTAAATTACACTTTATCCCCTTAAACTATTACATTTATTTTATTTTATACTCTTAACTATAAAATTTTTTACATTTTAAAGTACCAATTTTATTTTGACAATGGAGAAACAAACGATAGAGAGAGAGAGAGATGATTGGGGAAGATGTATTATGCTGGGTTGAGTTTTGTGTTAAAGGATGTGACAGTGGGAATATTAAACCCCTTCCAATTGGGCTTGGGTTGAGGGTCATTTTGGTTCTAAAATTTACAACTCGTATCATTTTCATCTTTTAAGTTTATAATTTATCACTTTAGTCTTTAAATTTTTTAAAAATGTGCCTCTAGTGTGATCGCGTGAGATACAAGTGACGATTTCTGGTAGAAAATTCTAACGGCCATTTGATTAAACCAAAATGACGCAAATTAAAAATTAAGAGGTCAAATTGATATTATTGAAAAATTAGAGACCAAACTTATATAAAACTCATAGTTTGGGAGCTAAAACTATATTTTATCCAACTAAATACTTCAAAATCAAACTTCATTCCTAAATTTATAATGCTTTCTAAATTAAAATTCATTACTAAAATTATAATGAAATAGATATTGAGAATTAATACTTAATAGATTACTATGATACCAAATACTATATTATATATTACCATTACATTTTGAAATCCTGTATTCTTTTACGGCGAGTGAGATACACATTTTTGTGATATTCAAATCTTTTCGGATAGTCTTAAGGTTGTGTTAGTGTATAAGATCTTCTGGCGCTTCCATTTTTAAGTTGAAGTTTCAATGTGGTTTTTTGTCTCAAAAAAAAAAAATATCTTTTCAGACAAATTATACTTTAATCCCCTCAATCATGACTTTTTTTATAGTACCCCCTCAATTCTTATATTTTTAATATTGCACCTTTCACCATTTAATTAGTTTTATATTATCCCAATTATTAACATTGGTTATAAATTTAACGAAAAATTATTTTATTTTTTTTGTTTTGATACTGAATAGTTATATTTTTATGTTTCAATTCAATCCTTGAACTTTGTCAACAATTAAGTATTCATTCATTTCCTTTATGGAACAACAATTCAATCTATCTTTTTTTCTTTTTTTTTTCGGTTGAATAAAAGAGTGATCAAGGGCGACGTAACAATTTTCAGGATGTTATTTTGAGATTCCCACCTATTATAAAATATTTGATTTAAATTAAGGCATTAATATCAATTGTAATTGTAGTAATAATAAACTTTCTAGTTTAAATTTATTAAAAGGAATCATAAACATTACAATTATCTTATTAAATTAGATGACTTTAATCACATAAGACAAAAGTAAACTCCACATGAATCCAATGGGTTCTAACCAATTGAGAATTGGTGAAAAAGCAATTAATATGAAATAATTTGGAAAAGTTAGAAATGACGGGCGATGGAGATAACAAAATTGTCGAAGCAAAAATAAAAACTTGTAGAAATTACTTACTGATGCCTCCAAGATCCCTCTGAAATCAATAAAAAAAAATACTCATCTTTTTATTATTTTCTCATTATTAATACTAGTAAATATGTTACATCTAATTATTTTATCAACATACAAATTTAAATAATTATAATCATAAATTTCTTTTAACAACAGAGAAAATTGGAAGGGTGTACACCAAATTAAAGTAAATTGTAAACAAGTACACAAAAAAAATATAGGGTTAAAAAACTCTTAATTTTGATACTTATTTGTTTTCAAGTACATTATTTGAAATTTTCATATTTTCTTCTGACCTTTGTATCCTTCCTTGATCCACGCGTAATTTTTTTGAAAAATAATTTTATTTTTAAATTATATTTATGCATTAAACATCTCCTATTTTTATGAAATTACTTTAATATTTTGTCTATATTTGGATATATGACCGTGTTTAATTTTTAAAACCCTCATTTTTTTTACCATAGTCATCTTCTTTGACTGGCTATACGTAGAAAGCCAGAAGACAAGTTGTCTTCGACTGTTTAGACATTTGCCTTTTTTTACCATAGTCGTCTTCTTTGACTGGCTATACATAAAATTTTGACTAGCTATACATAGAATTTTTGAGGAAAGAAGTGGGGTTCGTTATTTTTGCGGTGGTTTCGGTGTGGGGTGGTTGGGGAGGAGGCTAGTGGCTCCATGGAAGGTCGCTGGTGGTTGGGATGGAGGAGGCATACAGAGGGGGGGAGGAAAGCCAAACAGAGAGGTGGGGATGGAGATAGATAAACAGAGAAAGAGCGAGACAGAGGAGTGAGAAAGGAGAGACGGTGTAAAGAAAAAACCATGGAGGGGGAGAAAACTATGGCATGAGTTGAATGTGATTCAAATATTGAGAGATTCAGATAGATTCGAGAGGGAGAGATAGAGGCGTGAGATTGCGGGATTTGTTGAGGGATTTGAAAAAGGAATATTGTTGAGTGGAAAAATAAAATTCAGTATTCACTATAGATTGTTAGATCAAAATTTTAGAGATGATTTGAATCGTCTTTTATGTTGAGATTACGTTGTTTGTTGTTTGTTGGATGTATTTATGTTTTGTATCAAAACGATCTAGACTATTCTTTGTCTCTTGAATTCAAACTTCGTTCTACTTTATTATATAGATGATACACCCAAGTAAACATAAAGTATTTAAAACTTTAATTTACACACAAATCATAATTAACCCTAATTGATAATTTTTAGTTATTTTATCTTACAAAGTTAATTACTTAATCATTATAGTTTACGCACTAATTAGGGTTAATCATGCTCCAAGTTGGAATTTGATTGCCTTGATATTGTGCCTGTGCAAAATCCTTTGTATGGAACAGTTAAGACAAAAAGGACAAATGACATTTTGTCCTTAAAATATTTTAAAATCTAAAATTGTACCTTGAATTTATTTAGACACCAGGAATGTGTGTGCCCAATTAATAAACAATGCCTCATTTTTCATTTGTTGGCATTTTATCTCCACATACGTGATTTGAGAGGTTTAATATTTTTGGAGTAAACTGCAATTTTTAGAAAATTTTCGGGTGGCAAAGTAACATTATAATGTTTTTTTCCGATAGAAAACTAAAAGCCCAGTTGTGGGACATTAAAATTAGGGATATTTCTGGGCTGGTACACTTTTAATAACTTATTTGTCAAAAAGTCTAATAACCAATTTTTTTTTGTTATAAAGTATATTTCGAATTAAAATGACTCTAATATCTTTAATTATCTATTTACTAAATTAACTAAACCGAAATAAGTAACAAAATAAATTCATTAACTAAGTTCAACGAAGTTTCATTCAAACTATGCTCATACAATATTCAATGGAAAAACTTTCAAATTGATGCAATCCTTCCATAAAAATGTGCAATCGAAATTCTTGCCATGAAAAAGGTAACTATTTAGATTTCAAGAGCAATTATTTTCTTATATTAAAATGTTATGATTTTCCTAAAAAATTCTTACTTATTAACTCTCAAATCCCTAAAAAATTCAAAAATCTCCTAAATTTTGGTTCGTAAACAAAAGAGTGATAGATAGAATTTGAAAAATAGTCTGTCATAATTAAAAAATAGTGTGACATCAAAAAGGGACGTAATTTTAAAATTAATGTGACGTCAAATACTAAAAAATTGATGATCCTTCATGTAGAAGACCGATAATGGGGTATTGTAAGGGGTAGAAATCGCTACGGATCTTATCCCTCCACTTGAAGGATTCCGGCTGACCTGGCGGCACCGAGCCCCAGTAGCCTTTACCTCTCTTCGCCAATAGGAAGTGTTCACTTATATGACAGGGGGGAAGACGACTCTCTTCCGATGTGGGATTGCCTTAGGAAAGGGTCCTATTGGCGAAGAGAGGTAAAGGTTACTGGGGCTCGGTGCCGCCAGGTCAGCCGGAATCCTTCAAATAGAGGGATGAGATCCGTAGCGATTTCTACCCCTTACAAAAAGGCTCCTCCATAGGAAGTGTTCACTTATATGGCAGGGGGGAAGACGACTCTCTTCCGATGTAGGATTGCCTTAGGAAAGAGTCCTATTAGCGAAGAGAGGTAAAGACTACTGAGGCTCGGTGCCGCCAGGTCAGCCGGAATCCTTCAAGTGGAGGGATGAGATCCGTAGCGATTTCTACCCCTTACAGGTATCAATGACTATTTGGAAAAGATGAATATGAAAAATAAATATAGATTACAGTTTGGATCAATATACAACAAAAACGTTAACTGTCAAATATATTTTTGTAATCTTTTTAAAATTTAAACGATTAATTTCCCATAAAAATAGGAAACCACTCTGTCAATAAAAATAGAATTAAAAAAAATAGAAAACTACTATATATTGCATAAAATAAGTAAGGACATTTATATACTACTAAAATATGAAAATTTAAAAATATTTACTTCACCACCAAATGTTTTACAGAAAATATAATTACTAACTTAAAAGTTTGGACGACAGGCTTTTCTAAGAATATTTTTAAAAAAGTGTACCTCCCCACTAATTTTCCTTAAAATTATTCTATAGCCCACCTTAAATACTTCAGACTGAAAAAGTAGTTTAATTTCCGAGAAGATGAATGAACAGTCCTTTTAACTTTTAAGCAGCTAAAGAGACATTGGGAGATTTGTGTATTATTTGATTTCGGGTTTTTTGTCTCACAGTCTCTGGGTAGGGTTGATAATCACAATGCGCTACTAAAGTTTGACTTGGATTCGATTTGAGTTCGACTCGATTTTTTAAACAAGTAGAATTTAAAAAAAAAAAAAAATTTGCTTGAATTTGATAAGTTCGACTTGTTTATGTGTAAATAATCAGGTTTGATTTGTTTTGTTATCGTTTGACCTCGAAAACAAGTCGAACTTGAACAATTTGTAAACTCATTTAAAAAAATGTTATTATGGTCGATTCTAGGTCGACATACTGAACTTGATTATCAACACTATCCATAGGCCTAAAGAACATGATTTGTACCTAAATTCTAAACCTTAAGCTTTTAGAGTATCTCTAATAATATTATCTAGAATAACTACTCAAAATATATTTAAATATTATATTATTTATTTTAGCTAACCACTTTAACTAACTTTTAATAATAAAATTCAAATCTCATCAAAACCTTCAATACCCAGAATAGTTAGTTGCTTTGACTCGCTAGTCAAACAAAGGTTATGAGAAATAGTTAGTGTGATAGCTAGTCTATTGGAGGTGAGATTTAAACACTGTCTATGTAAAATAGCTAAAAAAACACTTTTACTTAGCCTGTTCGGGATGCTCATAACAGTGAAATTGAAATTTTTGGCCGTTGTAAGTCTTGGTAGGTTAAAAAAATTGCACTTTAAGGCCTCCACAATTTTTTTTTTTTTTTTCATTTTAATCCTTGAATTTTCTCTATAATTAAGTATTTATTTCATTTACTTCATTGGATGACAATTCAATCTCTTTCTTTCTAAATGCTTATTACAAAGAAGTTCAGCGATGCTGACGTAGCCGCTTACGAAAATCGTGCGACCATGAAGCCGCTAACACCAGAGCTGTAATTCAGTTGGGTCGGGTGGGTTAGACAGTCAACCCTAATTCAATCCTAAGTATATAATTGAGGAATTCAAATCGAGCACTGTCCGAATTTAATTTGGACAGACTCGGGTTGAATTTGGGTTCACTGCAAGAGAGATAGAGAGAGGGGGAATAATTACAAATTCATAAAACAATTTATATATTTCATTCATAACAGTACACAATTATTGATCATCTTTTCACACTAAAAAGCTAATGATCTCAAAGCACAATTCCAGAAAAACATAGAAATTAGACCCATAAAGACATTAAAATTAAAACATCACACTATCATCACTAATCATGCGTAATAGAGTAGCAAACAACAAAAAACATAGTACGAGGGAATAAAAATGAAAAAAAGTGCTAATGTTATATATATATATTTATTTATTTATTTATTTTTTAAATTTGTCGGATTCAGGATGCCTCAACTCGACTCGGCCCAATTTAAATTCGAATTAGAGTTTTTTTGACCTAAATATTAAAAATTCTAGCCAAATCCTAATTTTTCAAGATAGACTCGATTAAAATCAGGTTGTCCTTGCACCTCCACTTAACACGTCATCATTATCTAGATATATACCATCACCCCTCTTTCAAATGCTCACTCCACTCGTCAAAGCAAACACCACACACGCACGAGAGAGAGAGAGAGAGAAGATGAGCGGAAGAGGGAAGGTGGTGTGCGTGACAGGGGCTTCCGGCTACATAGCATCATGGCTGGTGAAGATGTTGCTTGATCGTGGCTACACCGTCAAAGCCACTGTTCGCAATCTCAGTCACCACTCTCTCTCTCCCTCCCTCCTTAATTACTTCTTTTCATCTTTCTTGTTGTTTAATTGCTGCAACTGTTCCATTGTTCTTCTCTGTAGCACAGTATTCTGAATCGTCTCTAATTCCAATCCTTTTTTTTTTTTTGCCCTTTTTGTTTACTGATTTGATTATGATATGTTGCTATATGTAACCTTTAGTATTTGTACTTCAATACACACCTCATGCACTAAATTTTTGGTTGATAGTGAAATTCTTTTGATTGTCACCATATTGAACCGTCATTTATTCTAAAAGCTACTTTTTAATTGTTAGAGAGAGTATGTGTATTTCTTGAACAGTTCTATCAATACCCTTATAATTTTACGAGATTAGAACATTCCCATTTCTTGATATCATTTCATGCCCCCCCAAGTTCAGATAAATTTAGCATTATGGATGTTTTAATTTTTAATTCTTTTGAGAATTGAGAAAAATACTGGTGAAATGATTGAGTTTATTGAGTTGGAAGGAAAAGGTACATGAAACGATATAATTCTCTGAATACTTGTTTATCATGGCTTAATCGAGTTATTAACATTTGATACTAATTTGACCTTTCATCATTCGTACCACCTGGTTAAAATTGTCTAGGGACCACAACTCTTAGATAATACTAAGGCCCGAACACTAAGGGCGTGTTTGGTATGTGGGTTTGGCCCGTTTGGGGGTTTTGGAACATGGGTTAGCGAACAAACCCCATCAAACTCATGTTCGGCAAATACATAACTAGTCCAGGGTTTGAAACCTAGCCCGCTTTAGGCTCAGAAATGAAACCTAAGTTCATGGGTTTCATGAAACCTGGTTGGGGGGGTTTTATATGTGGGTTAAAGGGTTGAAAATGCAAATGACATTTATACCTCATATATTCCATGTATGTAAACAAACATGAGTTTGGATTAAATTGGTTAAAAGGCACAATAATTATTTATATATAAATATATTATTATAATAGTCATATATTCGTGCGCATACTAAATATGTGTATGAACGGCATTAAATGTTAGATCCCATTTTTGAATCCCATCTTTGGGATTGGAATGGTTTGGACAAGTCAATTTAAACCCCTCCCAAAAACCCAACCAAACAGCCCCTAATAGTTAATGCATGGACAGTAATTTTATTTTCCTCAAGTGCAATTCTACTTTTACCAAATCTATTGTTGTTGTTTTACTAAACAAACAGTTAAGTTCTCGTTAGCAAATTTCTAATTCCTTTCACACATTCTTTAGTCTAGTTGTCTTTGTTTCTGTTTATATGTATCACAGGTGATCCGAAGAGGACTGCACATCTGCTTGGACTTGACGGGGCCAAGGAAAGACTGCATTTGTTTGAAGCAAACTTACTTGAAGAGGGATCTTTTGATGTTGCGGTTGATGGTTGTGAAGGTGTCTTCCACACAGCCTCTCCCGTTATCCTTTCAGCCACTGACCCTCAGGTCCATGATCAAACTTCAACATTCCTATTGTGATTTTTCATATAATAGCCGTCATCTGTATAAACACTTAAGGGGAATAAATTCTTTTGTGGACTATCAAAATTTTTTATTCAAACACTGCGATTTCTAACTTATTTCTCAGGATCTCAACCTGTCATTGTTTATATGAAAGCGTGATTTCTTTATCTTTTGTAATTTATATGAAAGTGTGGTTTTAATTCATATCACTGTCAAATTTTTATGACAAGACACTGTTCTATTTCTCATTTGAAAGTGTGTTCTGCAAATACGCTTGTATGTTGGCAATCGTAAACCATGCTTTCATATTAACAATGATAGGTTAAGAAATAAGTTAGAAATCACAGTTTTTGTTGAGCAAAAGGATTTTGAACAAATAGGCATCTTGACACTACAACCATCGTGACATCATTAGTTTCATGTTAATACTGTCCCTAGGTTCAGACCCGTACCTCAAACTATATTGTAGTTTATGTAGTGTTAGCCATCTTCTGGTCATTTCTTGCATGCTTGCTGTTCTTGTTATCAATTGGAACTTTTTTGGTCATCTCACGTTCAACAAAGGGATTGAAATAACGGAGTGAAGAGTTGATATGTATGTGCCAAGATCAATAAGTAAACCTCAGCTATAAAATAGAAAGGTTATGAAGACTATACCTTCAAATAAGTTACACTGAAAGCTAAGAGAATAGAAACATGAAGAGTAATGTAAAACTCATTTATTTGTCAAAGCAATGGAGATTCTACTGTCTTAATCTGGCTAGAAAATAGCTCCCATATACGTAGGTATGATCTAGCGGCAGAAGATTAGCCAAAGACGACCTGTGGACAAGCAAGCAAGGGTGTTTGATAATTTGGTTACTTTTGATGGCCTAAAAGGAATGATAGAAATGTAAGAGGTGTACACTCGGTATTTTTGCAGCTTCTTGAATTTCACGAGATTTGTTACAACCAAAACTCTTACGAATTGTGCTATACATTTAAAGAGCATCTTACGCTACTCGCTTTTCATAAAAACATGGATATTTAAAGTAATCAACATCAATACAGCTTGGTATATGCAAGGAATTTATTTTCTATGTGCTGCCTTGATGCTATTTTGTGCACACATTGGTGTAATGCTATTGGCTGTTTATTCCCTTCCTTGGTAAACTGTATACAGAAAGGGCTGTTTATCATTTATTTACCATGTTTCAGGCAGAATTAATTGACCCTGCTGTGAAGGGAACACTTAATGTTCTCACATCCTGTGCGAAAGTTTCATCTATCAAAAGGGTGGTAGTAACATCTTCCATGGCTTCGGTTAGATTCAACAGAAAACCTTTAAACCCGGATGTTGTAATTGATGAGACTTGGTTCTCCGATCCAGTATTTTGTCAGGAATCAAAGGTTTGTGATGTGCTAATACCTTTGATATTTAAGTTATTATGTGATAAAGTGCTGAAGCAACATCCATAAACTTTCCCAGGACTCTCTTGTATTTCTCTCTTTTGTTGCCCTTTGTACAAATAGCTTAGTCACGTGAAGGATTTTTTGCATGAGAAACAATTATCAGTATTTGAATGCTTCTTGCATGTCTTTTATGAGAACAAAGTAGAAGATCTATTATCCTATGCTCTGTGGTTTTGCATGGTTTTCTGCTGTTTGTATTTGCTTGCAAAACAATGTGTATACATTAATCTCTTTCGGTTAATGGAATCATTGCTTATTGGAAAATAAAAAGCATTTGACTGCATCTTTTAATGTTGTACAAAGTCCATTGAGATGGTTCTTTTTCGCTTAAGACCTAAGATAGATCTTCAAGTTTTAGTTATTTTAGCATATAGATGGGGAAAAGGTAAAGGCTAGTTTTCTTTCTGAAATTTTTGAGAATCTGGACATGCAAGGACTGCGAGGCTTATGTTGTAGCTTCTTGTGTTTTTATTCAACAACATAGTTGGAGATAAGATGACTTTCTTTAACACCCTTCCTTATGTGCTAATGAAACTTTGGTGTATGCCTCAGCTGTGGTATATGCTTTCAAAAACACTGGCCGAAGAAGCTGCATGGAAATTTGCAAAACAGAGCGGGATTGACTTGGTGACGATACATCCAGATTATGTGATTGGTCCTCTCTTACAGCCGATTCTCAATACCACTTCTGAGGGGATTGTAGACTTCATAAATCATGGTATGCTTTTCTATTAACAAATTGAGTGTTATGAGTATGATAGTATCTTTCTACCTGAAATGTATTATATAATTCATTTCAATTGTTGTAAAATCCTGGGAACGAATGATCAGCCCTTTAAAAATCTAGCCCCTAATTGCTATATGGTTATGGAGATTTTGTTAGAGAACAATTTACATTGATTTAATAGTTATCAAAGATTAAACATGATAGTCAAATGATCTTTACTCAAATGAAATGGGCCAAATGTATCATTCTAGTTGTTTGTCTATCTTCAAGTAACAGAAAAAGCCCTTCTTTGGTTCCAAGAAAATGCCCAATAATTTTGGGATTGTGGGTTCGAATATGAGGGCAGTCACTTTTGCAAATAGTGTCCAAAATTAGGTCTACATTCAATCCACGCCTCCTAGGTTTTATTTGTTGTAATGGGCACAAACAAGTTCTTTGTATTTTTTTTGTAAAGTTGTAAATGTGATTCTTTTGATACAAGCAATTAAGCTTTATATGATGTAGGGAAGGAAATGCTATCGAGTGGAATCTTTTTATGTGTTGATGTTAGAGATGTTGCATATGGACATATTCAAGCATTTGAGATTCCTTCTGCTAATGGCAGATACTGTTTGGCCGAGACAGTAACATACTGTTCCGAAATTCAAAAGATATTACACAAGCTTTATCCTACGCTTAACCTTCCTAAAAAGTAAGTATTAGTATTTGAAATGTCCTTAATGCCATGACTAAGCAACTAATTTAAATAATTGAATTTGGACACATTCAACAAATTTTGCATCATTTTAAATTTCCCATGTTTAATTGGGTTCAAATCTCTTTCTTTCACCTAATAAAATTTAGCTCTAAATAATATCATACTAATAGTCAGTCACTGGTATAAGCTGATGCATGTTCTCCATCATTGTCACGAAAACTGCTCTATTAGGGAATGGAAAGACAAGATTGGATTGTGTTAACCTTGTACAAAATGTGAGGTGGATCAAAGAGTTCCACAATGGATGGAATTAGTTTGATGATCTATAGAATGAAATTTGTTCAAGAGAATTAAGTTTAATATATAATGATTCTATTCAAGAATTTCCAAAAATTTGGTGTTTAGGTTAGAATCAAGGCAAAATGCCTGCCTTTTCAAGCTACTTTCTCGAATAGGAAATCAATGGAAAGATTGGCTACTTAGAAACACCTTCATATTTGACTCAAGGACATAAGAGTACTTGGTTTCTTTTTTCGATTTCTATATAATATATTGAAGAGGAGGATGTAGAGAGTAATGTCATGCTTAGAATCCAAAGATCCATTTACTTCTAGAGCTACTAGAAATGGAATTTTTTGATCTACTTCATTTTTTTAGTTACAATTTAAGCTTCAAAGTTTCTTGTAGTAATTGAATGATCTATCATCCTGAGATCATTTGAGGTATAAATTTCTCACAACCAAAGGAACCTAAATAGAACTTTGTGTTTTATTCATGGCAGATATACAGATGAAAAGCCTTTTGTCCCACCATACCAAGTATCCAAGGAAAGGGCAAAAAATTTGGGCATTGATTTCCTTCCTCTTGAAGTAAGCCTCAAGGCCACTGTGGAAAGCTTGAAGGAAAAGAAATTTCTGAGTTTTTGAATTGTAATATTCACAAGCAATGGAAATACGTATGAGGGTAGTATTTTCATGTTTTTATCTTGTAAAGTTGATTAGAATCCTTGCAATAATATGCTACAAGTTGGAATACGTTTCGCTTGTACCTATGCAAAATACTTTATTATGGAACAGAAAAGAAGGACCAATGACACTTTATCCTCTAAAGAATTTTGAATTCCCTCATCCCTGATTTGCACTCTTTAGAATGATACACTACAGTGGAAATATAAATTGCGCCATGATGAAGTATAAATTGCGAATGCTATTCTGCCTACTGGCCACTAGGTAGTCATAGTTCAGAAAAAAATGAAACTAAAGGATTGTTTATAGGAGCACATATCCTGCTGAAGGCCTTGCCAATGTACTCACATCAGTCTTACCCACACAACTCTCATCATTAGGAGTCAAATCTTTACCATCTTTACAGCTTTCATAAATGTAAATCTCCATAGCAGGTACAATTTTAGCAAAAATAATAGGTTGTAACCTTAGTTTTAACATAATAGCACAAGCAGCAAAATGAAGAGATGCCTAAGCTTTATTTTCAGTCGCTCTATTGAACTCTATGAACATCAGGAATAAAATGTAACTAAAAAAAAAATTTACCAAAAAGGACCATGGCCTGAGTTATGTATAACAAGTAGGAGAAGTTTCTGAATCTGCTTTCTCAACCCTCTTCCAGGCTTAACCAATCTTTCTATATCTTTAGATTGAAAATTCATACATTGAAACGAAAAATTAAGCATCATCTGCAACAAAAAAATGATTACCTATGCATTTTCTTCATTATACGAACATACAAGCATATCAGAGAAATTTCTTGCATATACCAACTACCAGAGGGTTGTGACCAACCAAACCCAATCCCCAATCAGATAAGCTGCATATGGGCACAATCCAGTCTGCTGCAACATGCCCTGCTTGGATACCTCCAGTTCCAATGGTAGCTCCTCTTTCTTCCCTCCATGCAGATACACCCTTTGCCAATCAAATGCCAAATAAAAAATACAACATAAACACAAACATAGCCACTACAGAAAACAGAAACCAACACTATGTGCACTAAATTCTCTTTACAAACAGATATGTTCCTTCCACAACCAATATTAAACAACTATTTATTCCTAACAAAAACTTTGAAAATTAATCAAACTGATAAGTAACAGAAAATGAAACAAAACATTCCCACCTGCAAGTTTGCTTAAAAGTAGCAACTTAGTAGAATTAACTTTCAAATTTGGTTTAAACTACTCCTATTTCTCCATAAACCTGTGACCTTCCCATCCTTATACACAACTTTCTTGCCAGTAATTTTTAAAACTACTCTGAAATAAATGATGATCAAACCACAACCGTCCAAACCCGCAAGTGCAAAGTTGCATTTAAGGATGGGAAGGTCTAAGTGTAGTCCAGACATCATTCAATGCATCTGGATGCGAGATTTTGTTAGAAAACATCTTTACAAGCCAAGATAGATTTCTCAATGTAGTTGATCTCCGTATTTTCAGAGAACATACCGCAAAATCTACAAAAACTTTTTCATTATAAGCCGAAAAAGTTCAAACTATTTTCTATTCTGATAAAGATAGGGTCCCATCAACAAGCCGAACAAGAGAAAGAAAATCATGGCATGAAACCAGAAATGAGAAAATGATGACATTTATCCTTCTGAGATATATTGGGTTCCAATCTTTAGTGCAAGCATTGTCATCTCTACTTGACACCATTCAACCTAAAAGTAGATCCAAGTGCAAAATGGTTGTGTTATGACCAATAGTGGTACAATTCTTAGCTTAGTCACAATGAATGTGTCATAATGAGAGCGGATTAGGACATGGAATGAAAACTAACAGTATATTATCAAAGCAGTGTATGGTCTCTCTCACTTTAGCAACGGGTGGTTTAGGGATTTCTTTTTGAACAGTTGATTTCACTTAATGAGAGATTGCTCTAAAACTTAATCACTTTATGTGGTTTTTTGAACAATTATAAAGTTGGTATATAGTTGTATTTGTCACTCCAGAATTAATATAAATAGATTAATGAAAAATGAGGCCACAAATGGAAAAGAGTTGGACACGACTGGATGATGGTAAGATCTTTGCAACAGTCATAATATAGTTTTCGTGGTAGTTATGGAGGTACTGGTGCTTGATGGGTTTTGGTGTCTCTCAAGTTTTTGGGTATACTATTATTCGGCCAAATTGGAACTCTATTTCATTTCTTTTATAGCCTTTTTCTTTCTTGGGGGAGTCTTGCCTCACATGTACTCTATTTCATTGATACACTTCCTTGTTATTGATCTCAAGAAAAGAGGGCATCAAAATCCAAGAAGCACCTAGCACAAACAAAGATATAACAAAAACATAACAGCACAAAGAGATTCCAAAAAGTTAACATAGGTTGATGTAAGATATAACTCAAAATACCTTGAAATCAAAAAACAGTTCCCATCAATCTAATATTACAGCTAGTTCACAATGAATCAATATCCAATATACCTCGGATCTCCAATGTACTCAGCGATTTGTTCAAGGCGCAAACTTCCCTACCCACATTAGAACGCACCCTTTTTCCCCTCACTTTTTCAGTAGTGCCCCTTTGCTCTCTACCTCGTTTTATGTCTTTACTTTCTCTTTGGGTATTTCACCAACAAAGCCCAGGCCTTGTCTGCCAGTTCTCCCCGAATATTCAACCACTTTTACATCTTCTTTTGCATTCTTCCCAATAACCCTACCCTCGTACCAACCATACCCACTGAGAAGCGCTTTCCCAAACTCTTTCACGGGCATATCGGTAAATTCATTGACCCCGTTATCCTCCGGGAGCCTCTGCAAATCATCTTTCAATTTCTGTAACATCAGCCTCTGTATCGACTCTGGCCGCGGAGGCGACCTCGGCTCCACAATTGCACCATTGTTTATAGACCGCCGTAGATTCAGGCCGTAGGATATGGAGGAATCGGTCTCGACAGAGGAGGTAGTTGGGTCCATAGTTGAAAATGCAATAAAGACAAATTTTTATAATTTTTTATTTGTTTTGTTAGCAAGAAAAAAAAAATGATAAAAAAAAAAAAAAATATATATATATATATATATATATATTTTTTTTTTAATTTTTTTACAATTAACTAACTTTTTTTTCTTGTAAATTATAAGAAAAGACAAGAAAGTTGTGACCTATAACTATTTTTCTATTTTATATTTATTTTTTTAAAAATAGTTTATTGGTTTTTAATTTTAAAAAATATTGGTATAGATTTGATTAATCATATAATTTGGTCCAAAGACTTTCACTGTTTTAGAATTAGGTTACAAGCCATTATTTTAAAAAAAATTAACTTTTAATTATAATACATATTTTTTTCTTCTTTCGAATAATTTAATATAATTAAGGATAATTTAAAAAATTAGAAAAATTTTATTGTAACTTTACTTTCTTTCAAACAATAAAATGAAATTTTTTTAAAATTTTCTTGCAAGTTTTTCATCTTGATCAAATACAAGCATGAAAATATATTTTTTATCATTTTCTTTTCTTTTACTTCACTTTCTATCATTTTTATTTTTCATCATTCTTTTCTTCCTAACTAAATGGACCCAAAGAAAACACCGTTTTCTAAGACTATAAAATAAAGGTACTTTGAATTCACGGAGAAAAAGAACAAAGGAATATCTCTGAAAAAGTATACTATTCAATAAATAATTCGTATTACATAAGAGAATATATATATGAACGACTAAAATCCTAATCTTCCCCATAATAAAAGCAAAATCTTTAATTATATGAAAATTATAAAAAAATAAAAAATTACAATCTAACTAGTTAATATAAAAACACGTGTCATTTGAAGTCTAACAAAATTAACAGTACTAAATTCAGAATCTTCTATGATTTATTATGAATTTTTGAACATTTTCTTAAAATGGCAAAAAAGGATCCAAATGAGTCTTAATTGTTGCCCAATCCGAATCAAACACCACCAATTTCAATATATTTCGAGTACGACCCAGTTTGTCTATACTATCACCTTTTGACCTTTTGTTGGGCTTTCAATCCGTGTCAGTCTTCTTTCTCCAAGTAATTAGTTGCTACATATTCTACATTAATTATTCACTATCACATGTCCAAAGAGTATAAATGAATTGATTAGATTATAGTCTTAGCATCAAATTCTTCTAAACAAACAATCTAGTTAAATATTAATTTTTATTTATTTAATTAATTACGTTCATTTTACAGATGTATTATAGTGAGACAATAGTTAGCTCTCTAAAAAAATAATTGTTAATATTATTTATTATTGTTAAAGAATCACTAAAAATATGTGATATACTTTTTTATAGATGTATTCTGATCGTACTCATATGGTCGTATCTTTATCATATTGTATCTGTATCTCACATTTGTATCCGTGCTTCCTAATTTGTAGGTAAAGAAAAATGGATGTTCTGAACCTTTTCTTTCTCCCATTACAATTTAAGCTTCAAATATACAGAGAGAGAGAGAGAGAGAGGGAACAACATATTGTGAGAAGATCTTTTGATGTCCACAATTTCTCCAACTAAAGGAGTCAAGATAAAAATGACTAATAATTTTTTATATTTTTTTGTGCCGGCTAAGATTAGGGATGACAATCGAGTTGTGTCGTGTTAAATTCGTGTTGGGCCATTTATGAGTTGATGTCGAACATTAATCATGCCTAACTCAACTCATTCAACTAATTGTGTTGTGTCGAATTACGAGTTAACCTGTTTATTTTTGAGTTCGAGTTAATCAAGTTCGTGTTATAAAATTCGTGTCGAGTTCAAGTCGTGCCATCGTGTTAAGTCAAAAATTTTCACCCCTACTTAAAATGGAAAAAATATTTTTTTAATTGTTTTATTGTTTTAATTTTTTAATTTTTTTATTGTTTATTGTTTATTTTTAAATAAATAAATATATATATATATATACATATTTTATTATTGTATTTTTATATGAAATTAATGTATATGTAATCTATATAATAAAATATAAGTGTGTTTCAATTTTATCTCAGTCATATTTTCTCCCTAAAAACCATTATCAATCACTTACTTCACTTATCATCCTTTTGTCAGACTCAAATGTTAAATCGCATCACTTATTTCTATCATATGTTTAATCATTTATATATTTATTCCTTAAAAATATCACATCACTCATTTTTATTATATATTTAATCATTTAATATTTAATTAATTTGTATTTAATATATTTTGAAAAAAATTAATATAATGAGATCGATTTTTTGAATGCTCGAATTTTATATTTTATCGTGTCTTCAGGCACGGATTATGACTAGTATATTTATATATAAAAAAAATATAGACAAATAAGATATATTTTAACACAAATAATTAACTTTTCATCTATTTTCCTTCCGATTTTGAAGGAATTGGTTTGAGTAAGTTAGAATGAAAGTTAATTCATCCACTTTTTCATCATTTTTATTTTATTTTTTTACCAAACATGATGTTTTATTTATCTCTCTAATTTTTCATCATTCTATTTTCCACCAAACGGAGCATTAGACACAAGTAATGTGTGTGCCCCAATTAGTAAACAATGCCTCATTTTTCATTTGTTCACATTTTATGTTCCACATACGTGATTTGAGAGGATTAATATTTATGGAGGAAACTGCAATTTTTTGAAAATTTTCGGGTGGCAAAGAAACATTATAATGTTTTGTCCGATGGAAAACTAAAATCCCAGTGGGACATTAAAATTAGGGATATTTGTGGGCAGATACAATTTTAATAACTTATTTGTCAAAAAGTCCAATAATCAATTTAATTTTTTTTTGTTAAGAAGTACATTTTGGATTAAAATGACTCTAATACCCTTAATTATCTATTTACTAAATTAGCTAAACCGAAATAAGAAACAAAATCAATTCATTAACTGAATTGTTATTTCAACAGAATTTCATTCAAACTTCTTTAAACACGGAATGCTCATGCAAGATTCAAGGGAAAAACTTTTAAATTGATACAATCCTCCCATAACAATGTGCAACCGAAATTCTTTCCATGAAAAAAGTCAACTATTTAGATTTCAAGAGCAACTATTATCTAATATTAAAATGTTATGATTTTCCTAAAAAAAATTTACTTATTAACTCTCAAATTCCTAAAAAATTCAAAAACCTCATGAATTTTGGTTCGTAAACAAAAGAGTGACCTAATTAAAAAATAGTGTGACATACTAAAAAAAAAATGTGACATCAAAGAGTTATATAATTTTAAAAATAATATGACATCAAAGGGTGATAGAGTTTGAAAATAGTCTATCATAATTAAAAAATAGTGTGACATCAAAAAATGACATAATTCTAAAAATAGTGTGACATCAAAAACCAAAAAATTGATGACTCTTCCGATAAAAGACCAATAATGGGTATCGATGGCTGTTTGGAAAAGATGAATATGAAAAATGAAGATATGAAAAATAGTGATTACAGTTTGGATCAATATACAATAAAAACGTTAATCGCCAAACATATTTTTGTAATATTTTTAAAATTCAAACGATTAATTGCCCATAAAAATAGGAAACCACTCAGTTAATAAAAATAGAATTAAAAAAAAATAGGAAACTACTAGATATTGCATAAAATAAGTAAGAGCATTTTAGGTACTACTAAAATATGAAAATTTAAAAATATGTAGTCAGCCACCAAATATTTTACAAAAAATATACTTACTAACTTAAAAGTTTGGGGGATAGACTTTTTTAAGAATATTTTCAAAAAAAAGTGTACCTCCCCACAAATTTTCCTTAAAATTACTATACGATCCACCCTAAACTCTTCAGTCTAAAAAAATGGTTTAATTCCGAGAATAGGAATGAATAATCCTTTTAAATTTTAAGAAGCTAAACAGACATTGAGAGATTTTTTAAGTATTTGATTTCGGGTTTTTTGTCTCACAGTCTGTGGGTAGGGTTGATAATCACAATGCGCTACTCAAATTTGACTTGAATTCGATTTGAGTTTGACTCAATTTTTTAAACGAGTAGAATTTTAAAAAAAAAAATTGGCTTGAACTTGACAAGCTCGGCTTGTTTATATGTAAATATTTGGGTTTAGTTTGTGTTGTGATTGTTCAGACTCGAAAACGAGTTGAATTTGAATAATTTTTAAGCTCGTTTAAAAAAATGTGCTTAACATGTTCGATTCGAGGTCGACATGCTGAACTTGATTATCAATACTATCCATAGGCATAAAGAACATGGTTTGGACCTAAATTGTAAACCCTAAGCCCTTATAACAGTGAAATTGAAAGTTTTGGCTGCTGTAAGTCTTGCTAGGTTAAAAAAATTGCACTTTAAGCCCTCCACAATTCTTTTTTTTTCATTTCAATCCTTGAATTTGCTCCATAATTAAGTATTTATTTTATTTACTTCATGGGATGACAATTCAATCTCTCTTTCTTTCGAGCCTCAAATGATTATTTTAAAGAAGTACAGCGACGTTGACGTAGCCGCTTACAAAAATCATGCGATCATTAAGCCTTGACACGTCATCATTATCTATACATATTACCATCACCCCTCTTTCAAGGAGTAGACTACGTTACATACAAGCGGATTTTCAGTATGATACCGAAAATATTTGGCTGATAAAAGCTGAAAAAGAGACTGCACAATAATGCAAAAAGGAAACGTGTAAAGGCAAAGTAAGGCAACCAGAATTTATTGTTGCCACTTATATCGTACAACAATGATGGATGAGGGACCTACCACATCAATGAGTGAGTTACACAGGTCATAGAATATTTATAAATATTACTTGCAAGATTTATAACAATAATGAATACAATAACAAAGATAATGAGATCCTTACAAAGTTAATTGAATCAAGTACAAGGTTAATGGTGTATTTACGACATTAATAAAAAATATAAAAAAATAATGGGATAGGTACAAAATTAAAGGTATATTTACAACGACAGTGAAAAAATTTACA